TTTCTTTTTTACGCGCATTGCAACACATACACGTCATCATCCACATTGCGCAAAAAGTTTATATATTTTTGTTTTTTATTACATATATATATTTTATTGTTGTTAAAATGGGCATTATTTATTATTTGTTTATTATACAATTAGCGTAAATATATGTATATTCTACAACCCCCGAAAAAATCCTTATTTATTATACATATATTTTTTGCTGTAACATCATCACAAATTCAAATTCTTTTTGGTCTCAACCACTCATTATTAATTCATAGTGACAGTGGGTTGAGCACAACAAACATCTTAACCTAGTCTGATACATCTTTATTGTATTTCGATTCCAAAAATGAAAAAAAAGCAATTTTTACTTATACTTTACAAAAAAACAAGTTTCGACGAGTATGTGGCGTGTGTGGATGTCAATTGGTATGAGGGATAAAGAGTGAATTAATTATTGATTATATGTGGATTAGGGCGAATTCTTATAAAAGCTCCGATTTTTTGCATCTGAAAAAACATCAAGAGACAATATTTGAGACCATTTCGGGGAGAATACCTTCGGAAAAATATCTGGTCATGGTTTTTTGTAACTTTCTCGTGATTTTTGGAACTTCTAAATTTCATTTTTTTTTAATAAGCAATTTTAGTTTACGCTCATCAGCACTTGTATCTTCAGAATGTGCCCGTTCTAAAAGGTTTTGTGAGTCCTCGCTTTCATAACCCAAATAATTTGTCCATCAGTTCGCGATAACTTCCGAGTTTGGAATTTATGAAAATGTGTTCGAGACTAAAATTACATCGAGCAATGCAATTTCGTTCTATTTGTCATTTGTCATTGTCTTGAGGCACCACCATGACACAAACACGTGAATAACGTCGCAGCATTCACCCACGAACACGCATACAACCTTATTTATTGATGCAACACAACCAACCCTACTGACCACCCAAACGCATTTGTATAATAGAATCCGACATTCATCGTCATCCTATCACGATGACAATACCAGCACCGACGAATTTCACTGCGAATATGAACGCAAATAGAAATAGACCAATGATTACTGATCCGAGAAGTAACGTGGTTTGTGTGGTGGCTGATAGAATTGTGATGGTGAGAGATTTTTAGAATTGGCAAATGATGGTGAGTAGGTACGAGAATTTGGCCGGAATGATTTTAGGAATGTACTTGATTGTAAAATTTAATCAGCCCGCCAGAAAAAGCCACCAATTGTCATATACGACCTAATTTTTCGATCAGCTTGATTTTGAAGTATATTGAGATCGAATGAATAAACCATCCAATTGTTCTATGTACAATAATGCTAATGGAACTTCAAATCATAAATCCCTCAATCCATATAAAAATCACAATCATCAAACGATAAAACATTAACGTCACTTCCTTTGTTAAAAATTCTCAGAGTTTTACAAAGTAAAACCACGCAAATGGTGTAGCAAAAGACATGGAAATCCGTCACAAAATCAAAACACAACAAACGACTTGTCGCCCACTTGACGGGCGCGAAAAATTCAATTAAAAAGAGCTTGATTCTTTTTAGGAACATTTTGCCGGCTATATAATGCGCATTGATAAACGATCTTGGCCAGTCACGTTGTAGATCGCATGTAATTCCTATCTCCAGTCAACAGACAAAAACGTCGTGATCTCAGAATTCCCACTCACTAAATTCTTTATTACTCCTAACAATTCATATAATGGAAACATCAAGGATATCTGAGGTGCCTTAATTTTGGTTGCGCAAGATAATATTTGCAATATGATTAATTTTAATATATTTCTTGCATAATTCATTCTCATGAGGTATCCGTCAAGGTCAATAACAAGTATCCACAAGCAATAACATAATAATTTCTCACTACTGCTTTTTTTAAACCTGTCATTCTCCTGTTCGTGTTGTATTTCTTGAATAATTGTTGGCTGAGGTCGTCTTTCTGAGATCGAGGATTTTTCTCTAACCTTTTAAATCATTAGAAACTTTCTGTCTTTTTTCTGCAGGTAACGACGTCCTTCGCCTCTCGATCAGGACATTTACAAGCTCGTCCACTGTCACAATAAGAACAAAACGTAACACGCCTGATGGTGAATCAATTTTCGTGGTATTATGTGGTGGCGAAAGGAATTTGTATAAGAAATGCTTGTAGTGGAAGGAAAGGTAGAAGAAACTTAAATCATACATTTTTAATGTAATCAATTCCCCATAATTCCGCCCAAACACCTATACCGCTTGCATAGCTTTATGTCGGAATGGTTGACCACATGTGCTTGATTCGCCAAGCATATTTGCACGTGACATTTTTTTAATTGAACAAAGGTCAGAAAAAGGGACTTTGTCATTCTTTATAAAATTATTTGTGCCACAAAGAGCAATTCTTGTTATTTCGGAAAAAATTTTGTTTTGTGTATATATATGTCAACTAACTAATTTAATCATTTTAATTGCGCATATGAAATCCAAATGTTCAATATATCTCTAGCGACAAAACGAGTATTTGATTAATCTATTTCTTCCGCCCGAAAACCACAACCCAATCAGACAAATAGACAACGCCGCCGCAGCACTCGTCCGGAAACACACATACAAGCCATATACAGCACCGAATAACCGCACAAACTCATTCTTCGTATAATAAAACCCAGACGTTCATTGTCACACTATCACAATGAGAATATGCCAGAATCAGGAACGAATGCACCAACGAATTTACTGCGAATATGAACGCAAATAGAGAATAAGGTTGTCCGAGAAGTAATGTGGTTTAAGTGATGTCTGACAAACCTGTGATGGGGAGTGAAATTAGGATTGTGACGACTAGGAGAATTATGGGTATAATAGGTGGAATTAGTTGTGATTGTATGACTCTGTAAAATATAAGCCAGTCTGTTAGAAATCCACCAGTAGTCATACATGACATTAAGCTTGAATAAATAAAATACTACCCAATTGTTCCACGTAAAAACGCCGACACTGGAACTGCAAACCACAAATCTCTCGAACTAAATAAAAACTCGTGCCAATGACAAAAATATTAACATCTCTTCCTTTCTTTAAACGTTAATGGTTTATCACAGCCAAAGTGCGATTATGGACTACTTCGATCGTAGTCACGTTGTAAACCGCATATAATTCCTATTTTGATTATTTTGAAAATCAACCAACAAGAACGAAGTCTAACGTTTAAGTCGTGACCCCAAAATCCCACCTACTAAATTCTTTTTTTTTACTGCACCAAAAATTCATATCCAATAAGGCAATCATTTGTAAGTGAATGACAAGCAATAGCGATAACATCATTGATGCTTTTCCTTTTTTTAACTTGCCATTTCCTCTGTTGTTTATATTTCTAATTGAACTTTCTTTAACGATTAATTTCTCCGTTGTCATCGTTACTATTATTATTATTATTATTATTATTATTATTATTATTATTATTATTATTATTATTATTATTATTATCGTTATACATGTACATGTACCATTGTTTTTAAATATTTATATATATATATGGTTAGTTAGTATAGGGATGACAACATGTGGTTGATTCTGAATCTAATCGGAAAATTTCTGCTAAAAAGTAAAATTATCCAATCATAAGTGCACGTTGTTTTTCGTTATTCCATATCTATGTCCCCCATTTGTAATTAAAAAAGGTAAGAATAGGAGGTTATATGTAAAATTGTCTTCCCAACAGTTTAACTAGTTTTCCAAGACAGATTTACACACTAGTTTTCATCGCATTTTTTCGGATTTATGGAGGTTACATGTTTCCAAATTTGGGTGGGGGTATAGATGCACTCGTGATAGCGATAGGCGTTATTGATAAACTTTAATACATGTACGTGTGTGCATGCATAAACAAGAAATTTTTATTACGTATTGTGAAAAAAAATTTTAGTTTTAATTTTATTTCTAAAGTCCATTTAGAACTATATTCGCTTTCAAAATTGTGTAAGGTGATCTAAAAAAGGGTCTAAGCTGGCTATGGGGATACTTATCGTTATTCAAAAGAAAACAAATTTGGAGATTACTTATAATTAGATATGTGACGGATTACTATATACAAGAAAGCTCATTGTTATCTATCATTCGATTGAATACTACCAAATATCTTAAAAAAGAATTCTTAATACTGTATGTAGTAGTATAAAACTTTTATTTTGTCATAAACTTTTATTTTGTCATAGTGGAAATAAATCAATGAATTTTGACCGGAATAACTACATACGTTAACTAAACTTAAGAGTTGACAACTTTAGGCCATACATTCTGTATAGTCAACCCTCGTTAATATGACATTGTTGGCGCAAAGTGTCATAACTAATCTGTCATAATTTTATAATATAGCTCTAGATTGGAATAGTCATAAATGAGGTTTGTCATATTAACGAGGGTTGGCTGAACATTATATTTTCGAATCAGCTTATTTTTTTTTGCATGTTTATCAATTATGTTTTCTACCATTATTGCTATTAGAATCTTTAATTTAGATGTATAAATAAGAGAAAAATACCTTGAAATTGATATTATCATGCTAGATAGTAAAATGCACCGAATAGTAGCGCTCGTTTAACCATCGTTTAAGATAAGCTCTACGTTTACTCAGCTTTGGTGTTTTCTTAATCGCTCTTTGCAATGTCTCCTCGTCCCTCATCGCCGGAACTTTCTCCATGACCTCCATCAGTGTGCGAAGTGATTTAAATTTCGCCACGTATGCGAGAGCATTCAACCTTTTAGAATCTTCTGCACGAGGATTTGCGCCCAATTCGATACATTTCGCCAGAATTGGTGGAATACATTGATCAAACTTCGTGAGGACCACAAAATGAAGGATGCCACATCCCTCTTCAATATCCACCTCGTGAATATTGAATTTTTTGGTCCTCACTAACCATTCGATTAAGATTGGATAATTTTCCACATACTCGAGTTCACGCGTCATGAGTTTTGACGCAGACTCGAGTAAAACGGTACGTTTAAGTTGTGGATCTCGGATCATAATGTTTCCATTGTATTCTTCTATGAGACTTAACAGACTGATTACCTTAGATATTGGTTGTTGTTGAATTGCGAGTATTGATAGAGGATAACTATTCGACTGATGGTCTACTGGATAAAGCCCATTCGGATCTGTTCTTCCTTTTGATAAAAGACTACGAAGATCTTTGAGATTGCCTTGGAAACAATGAATCCCTGGACATTCATTTGGATCGCGAGAAAAATCTTGAGATTTACGGTCAGTGTTGATTTCAATGAGTGTAAATTTTGTAGTGGTTGCTGACGCCGTTGAGTTTATGTTTTCGACATCATGAGTATCGTCAGAAGTTTCATCGAAGGACAAACGTGAAAAATGTAGTTTCGAACGTGGTTTCTTCTTATTTCGATTTGGTTTCTTGGGAAACTAATCATAAGAAGATAGTCATACATGTAATTTGAAGATAATAAAGAACCTAGAATCGAAATTCGCACAAACCTTTTCAAATATCACCAAGTTTTTCATAGCTTTCATCGCTATTGTTTTTGTTATCAGTATATTTTATTTTCTTAGTTGATTGTGAAAGAGAAAATGACTACTATTTATTAGATTATACTTTTGGAAAGAATATAACACATACTGACACTAAATGCGACGCATAGAATAAAAAAATCACATATGCATGACGTTATCGTTATCGTTATACACAATGAGCCATTAATAATTCAGTGTTGTGTATGGTGTGGCAAAGAAAATCATGTACATGTATAACTTTAATAGCCACAATAGCGGAAGTAAATTACTAATGAATATTTGTTATTTTTAGAACTGGGATGGTATTCGACATCCCGAAAATTCCGACATGTCCGACATCCCGACATCACAAAATCCCGACATCTGGAAACTCATGTGATTCCAATTTGTTTCCGATCTGACCGATATCCCCCCGTAACCAATCAAAATCGCAAGATTGACAAATAAAATAGCTTTGCATCTCGAAATATTGAACACAAAAATGCTCCTTGCAAACTTTTATGTATAATCACATAATCCTTACTCTAGTTCTAGTCGTAATCCTAACCGAACGCTAAGAGAATAAAGGGAATACCGGTGGAAGACCGAAATCGCATGATCTGCCCACTTTTTTTTTGCCATTACAAACTGGGACCGACTCAGTTTGACTTTATGATTATTGAACTATGAGACCGTGGTGTTGTGCCACAAGAGCGAAACCGCAGTTTAAGTCTGTTTAAATTGTTTAAGTCACGGTTTGGGTCATGGTTTGAATGTAGATTATAAAGTGATTCATCCTAACATATTATAAAAAAACCCAGTTACAATTGAATGCTGATCTTCGCAAGAATATTACTACGAAATATTTCAAAAATAAGAATATTCTAAAAACCATTCGTTCACAAAGAAGCGCATTATCTGATTTATCTGGTTACATGTTGCATTACACCCGACAACTTGGAATGAATTAAAAAGCGAAAAAACATAACATTTATAATAACGTATCTGATGTCAATTTGATTGAATAAATTATGCGAAAAAAAGCATAAGGGCTGAATGTCGTTTCTTAACGCAAAAACGATTCATGCCCACGTCTCACTATCACATGTACACATACATTATATCGCTATCATTTCAACGCATTTTATGAAGTGAACTCAAAGATGGAATCAAATCCTCATGATTGCAGTAAATGTTGGTATTGTCAAAAAGAGATAATAGGTTCAAATGGTACTTAAATTAAGGCGACATAACATATTATAAAAAAAACTCAGCTACAATTGAATACTCAATAGTAATAAAAAGATGATCTTCGCAAATATATTGATACGAAATATTAACTTGGAATTAAAATACGACTATTCTAAAAACCATTCATTCACAAAGAAGCACATTATCTAACTTATCTTGTTATGTGTTGCATTACACCCGGCCGGTTGTCACCTGAGGTTGATTGAAATGATTGGAATGAAGAGAAAAAATTAAAAAGCGAAAAAAATATAACATTTATAAATAACGTATTTGATGTCAATTTGATTATCAAGGTAGACATAATCACGGTATGACTGTATATATTATGAACCAATAAAAATTCATTCATATAGTGACCAATTGGAAATCATGACTTGTATTAAAATTTTTGAACCAGTTTATACTCCGGTTTCAATCATGACTTCAATAAACGTAAATGATTTGTAAGTCGTGACCCACACAAACTAAATGTTTCTTTTTTGGGTACGGGGCCAATAAAATTGCAGAAATTTTATCATCGATTCACATACTTGACCAATCAGAACACAGGTTAATATTATGTGACGTTTCCATTTATTATTATTATTATTATCGTTATTATTATTACATACTTTTAAGACCGCAGTGTTGTCATGGGACACGAACACGAGCATGAACAGTCCGCATCAATGTCCGACATTTTTACAACTTTAACTGAACGTAATTTCGAATTTATGCCCCTTAATTTTTGTGCTTGTCGGGATTTTGGTATGTCGGAATTCTGGTATGTCGGACTTTGGTACTTAAGGAGTTTGACTTTCTGAATTTTGGTGACCTTTACAACAGAAATCCGAAAAACTTTATAAGTGTTAAAATTCAATGATAGGACTGTTAACAGAATACAGTCAGACCTCACTAAATGCAACTTGCTCGGACCATACTTTTTAACACCGCACATTTAGAGAACAATAAGAAAAAATTGCATTATGAAGATATTTGGCCAGATTTTGAACTGAATGTTGCATTTAGGGAAGTCTGACTGCAGTTAATTTCTAACACCTAAAAATCACATGCATAAAAATTTTAGTTATTGAGATTTTTTTGGTCAAAAAATATTTCAAGGATGTGACTACACATTTTACGTTGGAAATTCTGTAACTTTCTCAAATGGCAAGTAAATATAAAAAGAAAAAGCCTCTTCTAATATATTATTGCTTCCTAGTTAAAGTTTATAAAGTTTTAAACATAAAATGTTTAGGTGGGTTGCACAATTTATTAGAAGATAAGGATCCGTTATCACTGTCTGTGTGTACAGTATCCTCAAAAAGTATTGCCAGGTTCAAATTATATCAGAAAACATTAAAAAAATGAAAATTTTCAAGCCATATACATATCCATATTTTCTAGTAATTATTTCTAAATTTTACATCATTTTAACGTTCATGAATTATATTTCTTCTGAAAAAATGATACAAAACTCAATTTAAAATGCAAAGACCATTTTTTGATGGTAAAGTATGAAACAATTTTTTGCATACAAAAATGGAAATTTCAACTATATACATACTGTATTCATATTTCTTTTTGTAAATATTCTAAATTTTATACATTTTAAAGTTAATCAATTATAGTTTTAAAAAAAAAAGGGTTCCCTATCTGTGAGAGACAAGAACGCTATTTTAAACAAAAAATCATGAAATAATTTTTTACTATATGAAGTGATTTTTATTATAATATAGAAAGTGCTTAATTTTGACATCATTTAAATTTTCCGTTATGCATAGGATTGGTATGACGAATCGATTTTGATTATTTTTGAAACAAGAACATCAATGAGAAAAAATTCTAGAACCAAACTACAAAAGCATCAATAAGAAAATATTCCAGATTAGACCTGTTTAAACATATTAATTAATATTTTACGCCGCCGTCATTGACTAATACTAATTACACAAGAGAAATAAAGCATAAAATGGCATCGAAAATTTTCCATTATAGCAACCGTTATCTAGCTGTGCATGCATGGAATGTTTTACATGAACTATATTTAAAAATAGAATTTTTTACGTTGTTCTCTATGCTTTTTCAAGTTCTTCTTTTATTCTCACGGATTAAGTTGACATTTCTTTACCTGAATTCACTAATTCAGCACAATCTCTTTAGTTTATTATGCAATCCGAAATTCGCCTACCAGAGTTAAATAATCATCGTAGCGATAGCACAGTTATCTCTTTATCTCGCTCGCAAACTCAAATAATCGAGGAACAAGAAAGCAAATACGATCATAATAAAAATGGTCATAATTCAAATATCACATACCCTCTTAATTCTCAAAACGTAAATTCAATCGATTCTGAATATCAGGAGAAACAGTTTAAAATTGAAATTAATGAAAAACTACATGGTGATGAAAGCGAATGGATTGAATTAAAAAGTATGTTTGATCTGAAAGAATTTGCCAGCTTAAAAATTTGGCAGCAAGTCATGGCCGAATTTTTTGGAACAACTATCTTGATCTTTTTAATTGGTGCTGCAGTCGTAGTTGTCGGTGATTCAAAGTACGTAATAAAATCTGGAGTAAATGAGTGCTTCGATAAATATGTGATTTATTCGAATTTTACAGATTTCCACACCCTTCATTATTAATTGGGTTCGCACATATTCCATTAATTTTGTTGCTAATATTAGCTACAGGGCCGATTTCAGGTATGTTAAATTCCCGTGTTCATACACAGATTATGCTGATCCCAATTTAAAATGTACATGGTGCAGGAGCCCACTTAAATCCATTCATAACCATCACAACAATATTTACACGTTTAATATCTCTTCCCCGTGGCTTACTTTACATGACTTTCCAATTATCTGGAGGGACAGCCGGAGGAATCTTGATACGAGCTATTGCATCAGATGAAAGTATTACTCGCACAAAATTAGGCGCTTGTTCGTTTAATCGCGAACTGTTCTCATCTTTCCAAGCGTTTACCGGCGAAACAGTATTCTGCTTCGGCATAGCTCTAGTATTGTTTGGAGTCGCTTTGGATCCAATACGTAAAAAAGATTTCGGGTTGACGATGTCGGCGTTTTTAGTTTCTGCGGTATTTGGGTTTTTCGTTTGGCTTAGTGGGGGACTTCACAAAGGATGGCCTGGGTAAATAAATATCTTTTTTTTGAGCTAATCATGCATTCTAATTAATAACGATACTGATTTTCGCGTAAAATAAAGCGCTTCAATGAATCCGGCAAAATGTTTTGCATTCTCAGTAGCAACTGAAGATTTTTCAGGTACATTATACTTATGACGTTTATAATTCAAAAATTTATTTCTTAATAATTTGATTTTTTGAAATTTAGATCATTGGATTTTCTGGGTTGCTCCTTTACTCGCCTCAATTATATATTCGTTATTCTATTCTTTATTTAATCCATATAAATCATAAACCCTCTTTTTTTTTTCGCAATCTGATACAAAAATGCATCTAAATATCAAAAAATAGTATTCAGCCAGCCAAAATATATTTTTGAAGTGTGCCGAATTCCCGAGATTTGATGTTTAAATTCACACATACTGTACATGTAAATATCGTGCATTCAAATTTTTGACATACGCATTTAATCTTGATAAATTAATATAAAATTTTAATTAATTTCGAACTTTCTAAATCAATGACAAAATTCTGACGCTAATGAATTGCTCAAATTTTTGAATTCAAAAATTCTGGGATTGAAACTCTACATTCGACACCTATTTAGATTTTTGACAAACATCAGTGTCTAAAATCTAAATATTTTGACATAGCAGATATTATTTCAGTTAAAATCATTTAATTTTATTTATCCACATAAGCATGAATAGCTATTATTTGCTAGACAAATATCACACCAATTATACATTCAATGTAGATACTCTCGAAACTCATGATTATATAAATTCAGTGAGTTCCTTTGATCAGAGTTTGATAGTGAGTCAAAGATTCGGCGAGGTTTTTGGCAGCCTGGGAACATGCTTGACAGTGTTCATTTTGATGCTAAAAATAACAGTATATGTAAAATTGACTCGAAGTGCCTCAGGACAAAAGACGAAAATAGAACAGGGATTATTACCTGGCAACTATTTATTTAATTCAAGGGATAGAAAAGATTAATATAAATTACTAATTAATAAAAAATGAGTGAATTTTCAAACACAAACCAGATTTCATTGCAATGTTTAGCAGATTCGATTGTCAATTGCGCAACATTGATCGCCTGTGGGGCATTCAAGGCGATAAGTTTTTCGGCACAATCGGCGAGCGCTACGTTTGAATAAGTTATGAAATTAGATAAAAGAAAAAATCTGCCAAACGCACGTTAATTATGAGATTCGTACCAGCGTTCGTACGACATTGTTGAGCGCACCCCTCGTCTCTCATATTCTGGGCGCAATTCTATTAAGATAATAATTGATCATTAGGACCAAAAATTTTACAATCGAACAACATGATATAATTTATAAAGTATTCACGATGCAAGCGGCGCTGCTTTCGGCGCTAATAAAAACGATACATGAAACGTAAAAAAAATATTAAATCCAAGTCGACATTAAATGTTAAGAAGTTCTCTTTATTTTATAAACTTTATTTACCAAGATTTCATAAATTCCAAAGTAGTTGAAGGGTTCATGTTTTTTTGTGTGTGTGTTATCGAATAAATTTGAAAGATTTATTTTATCAACAGTAATCCATTTGCTTGGGTACAATATTTATAAATACTGGCGGAGAGAAATATAATCTGATGTTCCCACGATTTATACTCAAATATTATCGAAATACGTATCATCATTGAAAACAAAATGACATCATTTACTCAAATAAAATGATGTCTGGGCGTCTTTCAAAACATAACGTGTCCTTGAAAATAGTTACCTTAAATTGTTTAATTTGATGATATTCTCACGATCTCAAAGCAAAAATGATTCATATAAATCAAAATCATGAATTCGTCAATTACAACAATGACGAGCACAACATTTTCACATAGAATTTGACGTTTACAAAAAGAAAAATCAGTTCATTCTGTAAAAACCGGCGATTTTAATGTCAAATTTCTAAAATAGGAAAAAAAATTAGCAGTTAACGTTAACCAATTTCGATCAACTTTGTACATGTATTTTAAAATTGATTCTGGAAGTTTTCGTATGTATCTAATCCATAGGTGCTCGACGAAAGAGACTGAGATGACCTGTCAAGTTGATTAATTCATGCGAAACGATTGTTTTGTCTCGGTCATTGTCTTGTCTCAGTCATTGTCTTGTGTTTTTTCTCAAACATTTTTCCAATTTGAGCCCAAGAATTCTTAATACTTGTCCATCGACCATTTTTTAATAAGTTCACCATCCTCATAAATCTCGCCGTCACTACACCTTGTTGCTGGTGGCTTTTTAATTATTCACCGAGTGTCTTCCAATAATACTTCGTTCACCGGGTCCGAATTTACTTTCGTGACCAGATCATTTTTCGTCGATATTTTTGATCCAGTTTAATCAATTTTCCTGGCGTTTTCGTAGTGATTTTTTATTCTTGCAACATCCATTGACATACCAGAATAGAGATTAGAACCGAAATATGTTGTGTCTCAGATGTCAGACGTGATCTCTTCGGCCAACATTAATCTATCTCCCTAGCAATCCTAACCCTTAACTCTAACTTCTTATTCTAATTTGGGCCAAGCGACATCTGACACAAGAACCGATCTGAGGCACAACATATATGTGCTAGACACGTATGCTATGCATAATTTTCTTTACAAGATATTAAAGCAATATGAATGATGAACCTCTCGATGTGTGTCTTGAAGCTGAGTTTGAACTATAGCTACTTTTACAATGAATGAAATTATTAAAAAAAACTAAGGTAAACCGGATGAAAAAGTTTAACCCGAATTCAGCACGGATATCCGGGTGAAGTTTTTGCACACGGTTCCAAACTCTAGGTATGATTAATAACGTTACTTACTATCATTGTATCTCACGTTACAATAGGAGTCCCGAGCAACTTATCTATTGTTAACTACGCATTAATTTGAATTTACTTAATTAAAAAATTCATTCATTGTTCCCAGTATAAAATATCTCAAACACAATCACGACATAACATGACCAAACTTATTATTTGGCTAAAGAACATCTTCACAATATTATAAAAATGACCTCGTTCCACACTCAATACTTTATTTGATCTGAATCCCCTTTTAATAAAAGCACCAACATATACGAACAAAAAAAGCTTTACTATCATCCATTCACGCCGCCTTCAAGAATAACAAAGAAATGCAACAAAATACAAATCCGTCTCGAACAAGAAGAAATATCGCACAGTTCGCGTACTCGAGAGAGATTTGCGATGATGATGAAAAGGAAGGTGATGACAATGAAAAAGAAAATCGAGCTAACCAAGGAAACAAAAAGGAAGGTCAAGAAGACATAATTTGTCTTGTATTGTCCTACCCATTCCACAGCGGTTCTCATTTTCGCCTTCAGAACAAAGCGCGTACGCTGAACTAATTTATTGAACACGTGAAGAAGTCGCTTTTCCAATTTATTGCGAAGAATAAACTAGATGATTTCTCAGAAGACGCTGACCTCTTATGTATTCTGAACTTTCTTATCAAAAATATTACTTTATTTACGCTTAGTCAAGGTCAACAAATCTTATTTCATGGACCATATAAAACTAATCCATCATATCTATTCAAATCATAATGCACATGAAATAACACATCCAAAAGGAAGGAAGTGGAATGATGAGAATTACAATGTTAGCACTAGAAGTAATCCTATGTCCGGAAAGTTTAAAGCATGAAGATGTGTGTCATTCATACAGTATTTAAGAGCTATTCTTTTTGTGCATGTTTTAGGTAATCAGGATGCATTCGGACTACTAACGGAAATTAAGCGGGAAATTAGACCCTAAACCTGTAGATCGATGGATCGCAATAGAACACGGAGAGTTAATAGAATAAATTAGAAAAGAATGAAGAGCAAGTAGGGCAAATCGTACGAATGGCAATAGCTAATGATGAGAAATTCTGGAGGAGTTTAATAACTCAAAAGATGCAGACGTGAAAATTAAAAATTCGTGGCTCTAGCAAATTTCCAATTTGGAATGGTGAGGTCATTTAACCCAAGTATATGTATTTTCGAATATGATGCTAATCTCGCCAAATTTAATTTTTTATATGAAATTTATAATTGACTTAAAATCATGTAAAAGTTTAATGTATCTCGAATATGCCAGCACTTGTTCTTGATAAATAAATATTTCACCTTTCTTTCTTGTCTTCTTTCTCGTTTCGCAGTTTTGAGTTTGCAGTCTATCATGCTTCCAGCATCATAAAGTCTTTATCTTATTATCCATTTATAAATACAATCTTCTCACATCGCATCAAAAATAATATCCGAATTTAGTCACTTTGGCTCAAAAATTCTCACTTTCTCGGCAAATTCAGTACCATCCGAACGATTATTTTCTGACTCGAGCAACATTCTACCAAAAAAACGAAAATCGATTAGATCCAAAATACATGATATATCGATATTGTTTCTAAAAACTTATTCTGATTTATTCAATGTTTATCCCGGACTAGAAGTTTTTTAACTAAGATTATACAATGATTCACTTATCAAAACGGACATGAAAAGTTTACGAAAAAAAAACCTAGCGTTTCCAATATCGATTAAATACACCTGGTTTCTATACTCATTTTAAAGCTAATAACCTAATCTACATAACCAATTTTCAGTTAAATTGGTATCAAATTCGTTTAGTTATTAGATCGCGAAGTACCAATAAAGAGATAGTTTAATTATTCTTATTATTAATTTGATACTTCGAGATCTAATACTACACAAATTTGATATCAATATAAATGAAAATTGGTAGTGTAGATAGTTCTCATCAAGAAGCACATTTTTTTATTAAGGCAATTCTTTTCAATTCTTCCTAGATAACAAAACTGCTTGAATTTAAAATAGGAAATAAATAATATATTTAATAGACATTTTTTAAATATTCTCTAGGCTATTAGCTTTAAAATGAGTACAGAAGCCAGGTGTATTTAATCGATATTGGAAGCGCTAGGTTTTTTTCATAAAACTTTTCATGTCCGTTTTCATTAAATGAGCCACTGTATGCTTGACTGAATATATTTGTGGCGTGATAAACATATAATACCCGATATATAGATGATTTGACATTTGAGCATTTAATGAGACCGATTGCTCTTGAAGTTCGCGCATTGGGTATTAAACTCATGCTAAGCGTCGTCAATGTATCCCAGTGGTTGTTAGAAAAAAAATAATTGATAAATCGACTTGTGCATGTTCACCAAGTTTTCGCGATCATCTCAGCAGAACCATGACCATACTTTCTAAAAATCTACGCGAAGTAATTGTTTGATCCATTATGAATCTCTTCCCTTAATCGTTCAAAAACATATGACGTCATACACCTAACCAGTGCCAGGTTTTGTCGATCATTAGTCGGATGTGGTGTCCGATCACCAGCCCGGATTATTAGCCGCAGTAAATTTTGTGTATATGTATTTATTGGCCAATCGTTTTTCAACATAAAATTAAGCACGAGAAATGATAAGTGTTAAAGAAAGAATGCATTAAGATCATATTGAATAATGAATTTGTAAGAATGTTTAAAGTAAGTGAATTTTATAATATCACACTTAATAACTTATCTAATACACTTCAAATCAAAATAAGTGAATTTTACAATAGCTCATGCAATATAGCAGTATCAAAATATTTCTGAGTTTGCCAGATTATAATTAATAATATCAAATTAGCAAAAAGAAAAGAGGTTATTAGTATAGAGATGCTAAATAGAAATCTATATATTTAATTGATTGATTATGAAATAATTAATACTATTATTAATAAAGAGATTATTATTAATAAAGAAATTATTATTAATGAAGATATCATTGATCAGATTAATTATTAAATAATTTTATTAAGTACAGTTATATCACTCTTAGTATACTCTCTCTAAGTGCATATATTATATAACTTCTCTTTAAATACATGATATATTCTGGTCTTAGCTTATAAAATCTTTATATATTTTAATTTTTATAAATATATATCCTCTTTAAATATATATTTTTATTTTTTTACTATAATTCCAAGAAGGATGTACTTAGAGAGATATAATTATATATTAAATATTATACAAATAATTCATTCTATATATTTATGAATAAATTATTTTAATAAGATAATAGTCAAATAATAATAATAAGTTAATATAAAATTTAATATATTATATAAATTTATTAATTTAATTAATTTTTATTAATAAATCATATTTTTTTATTAATTTTTCAAATCTTTCATGCTAAAATAATAAATAAATTACTATTTTCTTTTTTTATATAATCAGAAAGTCTTCTTTTTATATTATTAGATTCTTCTATTTTCTAGTATTTTACTAATTCAACTTGTATACAAATTTTTACATCACTCTTAATATAAGTATAAAAATTAATATTATAATTGATTTTATAAAAAAAATATTAATTATAAATTAGATATGACTTTTACTATATTATATTACTTAACAAACTTATTAAAAGCAATAAAAAATTTAAATTATTATTCTTGTAATCATTTT